ATGTTATTGTTCCTTTATATAGTGTTCATGCAGGTGGCTGGAGGGCGGGTGGAAGTCTGGATCTAAAAATAAAGGTCATATGAGGGTTTTTGCTGGTGTTTTCGCAGTGATTGCGACAGTGGGGCCCTTTAAAAGAAGCCAAACCGGGAAAAAGAATGACATACCTTTAAATCTTTCTCTTTTTGAATTCTCCACAGAGAATTCCATGATGTTTTGTTGATTGGCATTTGTAACATTTTCCAGCGCAGGGTTCCGCATGTACACCTTCCAAACAAATCATACAAAGTTGTAGTTCTTTCATTCGTATTCCTCGTTCTAACGGAGTTGGATAGATTGGGCAATTTGAGGACCGATGCCCATCAGAAGTACGAATTTTGCAAAATATGCAATTAACTGCGGGAGTAGTTTGTTGGATTATAGTTTCCATTTGGCTCTCTATTCTACAAAGTCTAGCATCTAGGATAGACATGAAGCAGCTCAATTTGCGGAGCATGCGACGCTCGAATACCATCAAAAGTTTTAAATCAGAATTCAAGTGAGGTAGTTCCTCTATCTCAGGAAGCATTAGCTCTTCCTCAATAGAAGGGTTCAGATTGTTGAATAGTTCGTTACTCATGATGATTTAAATCGTTAAAAGTTTTCAAAGTATTTATATATGACTTAAAACAGCTGGATAATTTTTTTTTTTTTTTTTTTTTTTATGTTTATGTCCCAAGAATTTTAGGGATGTTATTCTGGCAGCTGTTCAGCTGGCTCCTTCAAAAAACTATTCAAAACATTGACGAGCCTTTTTCCAGCTGTTATACTGCTGATAGCAAGTTTCGTAGCAATTTTAAGTAACTGTAAGGCCGTTGCGGACGCAAACATGTATATCAAAATTGTAATAGCAATTAAAGCTATTACTATCAATACCACCCTTTGCCAATTAGATGACATGGTTAGAACTAGTGGCATCACGTCAAAACTATCACCTCCTTGTTTTGTTGACCGATCATACTGGGGTGTCTCCTCTTCTGGTTCCCAATACAAATTTCCAGTAATTTTTACCTGCTTTACTTGATCAGCACATACTGTTGTACATGTGTCCGATGGTGAAGCTTGTATTGCTGCGTAGATAACTTCGTTCAATGGTTCCCACGGAGCGCATTCTATCATTATTGTTGCCTGCTGGCATTGAAGTGTTATCCAAGTGTCTTTCTCGGATATACAGGTTATACGTAACTTCGCTCCTTTATCACAGGAATAACATCCAGTGATATTAATAAACTGTAAATGACATGGAAACTCATATGTAAACGTATGTGACTCTAACGTCATAGAGGATTCTAGAGCCACCTTCGACTCGTCCAAGGTCGAATCTATGATTATTTGCCCGTTAATTTCCTTTATTGATCCCTCCACCTGGTTTAGTGGCAACTTCCGGGATGGAGTTGCAAATTCATGATGAGGACAATTACATGAGGCTTCTCCTCTCTGGTTTACTGAGCAATCACAATGTCGCGATGTACTGCAATTGACTAAATTGTTTGTTGCTTCTCGTTCTGTCGTACAGTGCATCATAATGCTCTGTTCTTCAACTAAATAAGAACTATTTGCAGAAAGGGCGTATGCCTTCTGTAGTCCATATACTGGAGTTCTTGTGTGTGAGATTATAGTCAAGTTAAACAGTGGATGTTTGTAAGTTTCGTACGGTGACATGGTTATTGCTAAGGTTTCCGATTTTTTAAAAAGGGTTGTTTTAATTTTCAAGGTTATTTCTGTAGTCCAGCTATTGCATTGGATAACTTTGTATATAAGTTCTGTGATAGGAATATGTTCCAGTTTATAAAGGATGCATGAATCTCCATAGGTCAGGCATCCACAAAATAAAAATCCACATGACCTCTGACATCCTGTTTGAAATGCAGAAGTATAAGGTTCAAGTTCATGGAATCTTACTGTGGCTGCTGTTGTTCCACAAGAATCATTGCAGGAGCCCATACTTGAGCATCTATGATGTGAAGATACCTTCATCTTTGTGTTACGCGTATAATATTTGAATGTCGGAACGCATGTATGTATCGTATGTAATCTCGTAATTTCTACTGAACCAATCGAGACATTCTTATGCAAAAATTCAATACACGCTTCTCTAGCCCGTGAACTGAATACAAACTCCTGCGCATATTCTTTAACGCAATTCGTTCGATTGTAACAAATCAAGTCGGTAGTTCTGCGAATATGTGCGTTTTGGCAGCAGTTTGTTACGGTAATTGAAACAGATATTATAATAGCAAGCAAAGATAGCCGAGATCCCATTCTCATATAGCTGGGTATTCTTAAGGCTGAATATGATTGCTCATCTTCTACTTGCCGTTCTTTTTGTTCTTCACTTTCCGCATCAATTATTTCCATTTCTATGTGATTATCGTGCGATGTTTCATCTTTCCTGGTCAATTTTGATCTCATATTGTCAAACTGTGTTCTTAATTGATTAGTCCACATTTGATTTATTCGCTGTCCTTTATTCAAACGACATATGCATGCCAGTGCGGCTAGTATAAACAGAATTGGTAATGATATAGATAGAAATGCTAAGTTAACATTACATTGTGGATTTGCTATGATTCTTTTTGAGAATAACACCGCGTTTTCACAAGAAGAGGCCATTGTAGTAGGGAGGGTAGATATCATAACAATGCATAATATCATTAGGACATTCTTGTTTACTTTAGGGATATGTAGTAACTTTTGCGTTCCCCGTATTCTTGGCATCATCCTTCTTGCCTTCATACTTTGTACAGTTTTGCGAATTCTCTCCGGCATCCACCATCGGTCTAGATGAGGAGGGTGCTTCGGAGATTCTCCGGGGGTATCGGAATGATCTTCCGATAATGGAATCTCTAAGGAGGGTTCTTCCTCTGGAATTTCGTTTGGTAACATGTCGTTTTCATAGAAATTTTCAGATGATGCACGAGGCATTGCTTTTGTATGTGTTAATTCGTCCATTCGATTTTGTATCGGATCTGTGTTGTAGATTTTCGATGGTAGTTTATTAGTTTCAAGCTTATATTTACCAACGTTGGTGTACACAGGACTATCCTTAATTGGAGCATGTATGGATGTTCTAATTTCCATAGAATATAACTGATTGAGTGATCGCAAAATAATATTTCCTGTGCCGGTCTTGACCTTTGCTGTCCGTATTTCATCACCGGGGCCTTTGATGAGTTCTATAATTCGGCCCAGTTTCCAATAAGCGCGGGGCAATGATTCATCAAAAATGATTACCACCTCTCCTACTTGAGGAATGTTTGTAGTAGTTCGCGGTTGTTTGCGCGTGTGTTTATAAATGTCTTTGATGTATACTAGATACTCCTTCGAAAATCTATCCCAAAACTTAGATGCAATATCTTCACCCAGTTGAATAGCTTCTACTGCTTGTTCTATAATTTGGATAGTATCGAATCTCGTGTGACTGTCGTATACTCTTGTATTTTCTTGTGGTAGTAATGAAAATGCTGTAACCGGACACAAAAAGTCAATAGGACGAATAGGTAGTCTATTCAAATCGTTGGGATCCGGGTGAGTTAACGGTCTGGTATTCAGAATGGCTTCAATTTTTATAATAACTGTGGCAAAATCATCCAAAGATAACAATCGTTTTCCAATTGCCTTGCGCAGTGCTAACTTAGTCAAGCCCACAAGACGTTCCCAACATCCTCCCTTCCAAGGAGAAAGTGGTGTGTTGAACAACCATCTTATTTTCTTGGTAGAGAAGTAGGATACGAGTCCTTCATTTGACAATTGTAAATCTTTTGTTTGATCAAAGATGTCAAGCATTTTCGCACTGAGCGTAAAATTGCCTGCACAGTCACTACGCATAATCTCAGGAAGTCCCCTTCGGGATATAAAACGATCAAATGCGTTCAAAAAGGCCTTGGCTGATTGATCAGTGATTAATTCAAGATGTATTGCTCTGGTTGTCAAGCACGTGAATAGACATACATACACCTTTTCTTTATCTTTAAGCGCAATAGGCCCCAATAGGTCACATCCAGAGTTCACGAAGGGCTTAGTAATCACCACTCTATCTTTAGGTAAGGATGGCATGTTAGGTGCTCCATATGGTAGAGTATGAAATCTTTTGCATACAACACAATCTTTAATTACTTTTTTTATTGTTGGACTGGGTCTATCAACATAATATTCTTGTCTAAGCCTAATCAAAACAAAATCTTTGCCTTGATGCATAGTTTCTCGATGGAAGTGCATAATGAGATGTTTCGAATAAGGTGATGATTGAGGCAAATAAATCGGATTTTTAGTCTCATATGGCAGGGCGGCGTTCTGCAGTCTACTTTTAATACGTATGATGCCGTTTACATCAATGAAAAATAAAAACCCTTTATGTCTTTTTTCCAATGTTTTCAAATCTAACCCTGTCTGTGCTTGTCTGGTTAATAACTGTTCGATTGCTTTAATGTCATCTGCGGTAGTTATGGGATTGAGGGACATTAAGCTTAAGGCCGTCGTCAACGTGCGTTCAGGAAAAACCTTTTTTATCCATGTGCGCAAGCATTTGCAAGTCATCACTAATATGCGTAGATTAGCATAATGGGATTCTTTGTATGCTAAATTATAAGAGAGTGGTGCTCTACTGGATACTACAGATTCTGGTTCCACTTGGATTAGCTGGACCTGAGGAAAATCATCTTTTTTGTCATACTTTGTTAATATCTTTTCTCGGATATCGCGAAGCAGCCAGGATGGTCCCCTAGCCCAGTATGATAACTCAAGGTTCTCCATGTTGCATCCTCGTGAACCGACATCAGCAGGATTGTAATCGGTATTAACATGATAAAGTTGCACTCGGCTTCCGTTCGACATAATGTTCCATAAAAGTTTATTGGTCTCTACAACTTGATGCGTCACATAGGCCGGCAGACTCTTTCCATTTGTTAACCAAGACAGGGCTATGGAGCTATCGCTGACTAAGTTGACTTGTGATATGTCAGGAATCATCTTATGGATTGATAATGCTAGCCTTGCTCCTAATCGAATCGCTAACAGCTCCAATCTAGGGATTGTCAAATTTTTATTTATTGGTGCAAGTCGTGATTTTCCGCTGATCAATGATGAGACTCGATTAGGATACTCGAAATATGCACAACATGCAATAGCAGAAGCGCTTGCATCTGCAAAGACCCACAATATCGGGTCTGACAGTATTGTAGGAGATACTCTTTTTATGACGAGTTGATCTACTGTCTGAATGTCGTTTATTACCGCAACCCATTCATCTATATCATCAGCTGGTAACTTGTCATCCCAGGTGATTTTGGAAGAACAAACCTTTCTCATTATAAGCTTCAATTTAACTAATACCGGATTTATAACACCGATGGGGTCATAAATAGAATGTAATTGACGTAGTAGTCCTCGTTTAGTATAATCAGAAATAGGAGGTATACCTATTTGAACCGCCAAAGTATCTTCTATTGGGTTGTAGGGGATTCCCAGTATTTTAATCTCCTTCAAGGGATACTTATCTTCTTCGGGCATGTCTTGTGTTACCGCAAAATGATTGGATAGAAATTGTCTAACATTCATGGATATTTTCTGGAAAAGTTCCTTGACCAGTTTGCATTTATTAATAGCTTCTTGGTCTGTGTCGGCAAACAGAATAATGTTGTCCACGTACAGACATTGAAGAATTTCTTTAGCTATAGGCATGTCTGAGTTGTTTAGAAACCAAGTTAAACACATATTCAAGATACTAGGTGACGCAGTTAGTCCAAACGGTAGGCGTTTGAACCTGTATTCACATAAATTTGCCATATCTACTGGTCTCTCAGGATCATTCAGCCAAAGGAACCGGCAAAAATCACGATCTTTTTCCTTCAATTCTATTTGCAAGAATGCCGATTCGATATCACAAGTGATCAGTATTCTTTTAACCCGACATAGCACGATTATGTCATGGATTTTGTTAACATACGATAATCCTGTGTGCATTACTTCGTTTAACGAAGGAGATTCTTTCTGTTTAGCAGATCCATCAAATACAATGCGAAGTGGATTTGGTTTTTCAATCTTCCAAACTCCTCGGTGCGGTAGATAAAATTTTTGACCGGAAGTTTGATGTGGAGCCCTTTCTATTATATCTTTCAAACAGTAGTTATTCAACGTGAACATGTATTGTTCCAGCTGTGGTTGATTGATAGCTAGTCTAGACCATAATGCTTTGAGGCGGTGGAACGCTGGATAGAAATTATCTTTTAATTGTCCAACATTTGATTTAAGCGGAAGTACCGCAGAAATTCGATCATTTGTGATTGTAAGATTTCCTGCATAGTTATGATAAAACCCATTCAGTTGTTCTTGTTTAAAGTCATCGGTGCTGATTCCCAAGCTATCTATCTCAAATATGTCTTTTATCATATCATACTCCATATTGGTTGGAGTTGTAAGGCAAGATAATGAATGTTGAACTGTAGATTGGTCTACAGCTCCGTTAATAGTGAAGCCGAAAATGGTTTTCTTCATTATCAATCCGGATGGCAGACCGACTTCTTGATTTAATGGTACGAAATGTCGGTATCGGTCCATACCTAGTATAACATCTGGAGAAAACAATTCTCCGTTTGTAGAAGAGTTTGCCAAAGTGATATTATTTTCGTTGATAAACTTTCGATCTTTTGCGTCTAACATAGGACTCTGAATTGGTGCTGTTAAAGTTGCCTTGGTCATCATTTTTGTAACTATGACATTGCCTTCTGACGTGCAAAACATTAACTCGACGATACTGGACTTTTCTGTTTCAGACATTCCACCTATTCCATATATGGTTTGCATCTGAGGTTCAGAATGTCTCACACCTAGTTTCTTTGCAACGTCAGTTTTGATGAATGACTTCATGGAACCTTCATCAATTAAAATACTTATCGGTTCAAAACGTTGTGTTTTGTTATTCATGACGTATGCCTTCGCCGAGCGTAGTATAACGTGTTGATCAGCTTCATCTTCGTTCTCAACGTGATTTAATATTACAGGAATAATCGCGAATTCGTTACTATCCTTATAATCTGCACTGCCTGTACTCTTTTTCGGATTGCTTTCTTCAATTTGCACATTCGATACTATTCTTTCGGTTTTTAAACCTTCCTCATTACCCTTCAAACAGATCGAACTGCTGTGATCCCCTTTACAGATGGGACATCTGTCTTTCTTGCATTCTTGACTTTTGTGTTGTGGGCTGAAGCACACCCAGCATCTGTTGTATTTTTTCAGGATATTTCTTTTATCCTGTACTTTTGTTATGATATTGCAAAGATGAGACTTGTGCCCGACACTATTGCAAAACAGACATGGCCATTGTTTACGGGGTTCAAAACTTTTGTGATCTTTCGGATAGGATTTTTCAAGCTGATTTGGATAAAATTCTCCCTTATGAGATTTTTCACCTTGTTCTTCTAACTCTAAAGCTTGAACATTATGTGTAATGGTCTCGAGTATGCCATCCACTGTCCATTGTTGGCTTTTGTTTGTAACAATTTTCCTTATTATGTGGAAAGGAAACTTATCAGTTACTTCTGATAAGCAGAGCTCAGGAGAAATGATGCCGCCTGCTGATTCAAGTTGGCGCAATATCGTTTTTATTTCTCTCAATGTCCGAATGCATTCTTTAGCGTTATCAGCAGCTCTTTTTGTAGCTTTCAATTTGTTAATAAGATGATACTTGTTGGCAGTATAAGCACCAAACTCCTCGATGAGCAATTTCTTTATTTTCTCATAATTCTTTGCATCTGGTTCGATTCCTTGAATTGCTGCCAAAGCCTTTCCGGATAACCCTTCGCAGAGCAAATTCACCTTATCAAGAATTTCAAGATCATTATTTTCATCAACAATCCTTTTGAATCTTCCCCAGTAGGAATTAAAGTTCTCGATATTCCCGTCAAAGGAAGGGAGAATATACCCTTGATGAGATTTCAACGCCATATTCTTTCCAATGGCCTTAGTCATATCTCCAAATGTCTTTTGAAGATTTCGGATCAGATCCTCTGAATTACTCATCTCCTTAGGTTCATTGGCTAGCTCCTGATCATGGATCATTTTTAGATGTTTTTCTCCCTTTACCTTGAATTCTCTTAGGTTTTCGATGATATTTTCCATGTGGATCAACTGTCTTTTTGCAGTTGAAAAATGTTCTTGAAACACAGTGTTCTCCATAATGGGATTGTATAAGGTTTTTATCTCCTCCAAATGATCTTCTCCCATTATTTCTTCAATCTTCCTCAAGGATTCGTGTATATCCTCAATCGTTTTGATGGAGCTATGTAAATTGTTATAGGCTCTATCAAACCCATTTATCTTAATATTCAAATGTTCGATGTCATGTATACCGTGCACGTTGAACTCTGTTTTGTTGGTGTCATCAATTTTTTGTTGATAACCAGTTACCAATTCCCCCAGCAATTGGTAAGAATTGCGCAAATTAATTGTATGCGCAGTTGTCATTTTGCTCAAGTTTACTTTTCGTAAAGGTGCTGTTCTCTTTGCCAGCGTATATTCGCGAGAAACTGTTTCAAGTTTCTTTAGAATCACTTCCCTTTTCCGGGAACTTATTTTCTTATTGGTATCCACTTCGGGATGACCGATATATGTCTTCAGCTCTTCTATTTCAAGAATTTAGCTGAATTTCCCTATCTTTCTTTAGGGAGTTGTGGACTTAAGCTGCCACGTATGATTAATTCTGACAAAAATAGCTGTCTTGGTGCTATTTTGTCAGACAAATTTAAGTTTGCGACAAGAAATTCCCTTCTTGTGCGGTAGCTGGACAGGCAATCCTGCCGTGGTCGCCAATTGTCTCAATGACAGAGCGTTGCTCAAGTTAATAAGAGAATGAACAAAGAGTAATTCACAATTATTTATTCCCAAGTTACTTTTACAACACTCG